CCCCACCCCCTACCCACACCCCTCTAGTTTCCCCCGTATTTTATTCTTCGTCTTCTGAAAAGTAAAACTCCGCCGATGTAAGTGCACATATTTCACGACTTAAATATGACAGACACCCAGAAAAAGGAAAAAAAAAAACAAAAACAAAAACCAACAAAAAAACAAAAACAATCCTAAATGTTCAAATGGAAACTAACTTAACAAAGGCAACATTTAAAGATGATACCAAAAAAAAAAGAGAAATGAAATTTAGAACTGAACATTGAACGTTGACTCAAACATGACATAAACAAAATCGATCAAAGTATCCAATAACAGTTACACAACAGCGATGATAACAAATGATAATAACAACAATAACAGGAACATTTCAACAAAATCTGTGTTAAGAACAAAACAACCACAGGGTAAAAAATGGTGCTACAAATTAATTATTTTACACCTCCATTGACATAATTTAAACCATTCAGGGGGTGGGCTTCCTGGACCTTGCTGGCAGGTATTTGCCTGGACTGGCTGAGAGGGATACATCCGTCCTCCAGCACACAGATACCAAAGATCGTTCATAACAAGATAGTTCACTCAGCCAAAGATCGTTCATAACAAGATAGTTCACTCAGCCAAAGATTGTTCATAACAAGATAGTTCACTCAGCCAAAGATAGTACATAACAAGATAGTACACTCGGCCAAAGACCGTACATAACAAGATAGCTCACTCAGCGAAAGATCGTACATAACAAGATAATTCACTCAGCCAAAAAAGTGTCCGCGGATGTCCGAAAATTGGTTCAGATGGCGCTGCAGTCTTTGTTTTGAAGATCTCCTTCGTTTCTCAAGAAAAAGAATAGGAATAGCACAGTTTGTTAGTTTCACTTTTATTGTTTTTCACACAAGTAGTGTAACTCTGTTTGCAAAGTCCGCGCTTTTTCGAAGAGGGCGCCACCGAATTTTGGGGATCCTTTTTTGATAGGCTCAAAGAAAGGAGACAGCTATCTTGTTATACACGCGATCTTTGCAGATACTCAATTATTTTTTAAAATCTCCCCACATGGGAATCAAACTCATCCCTTCAGGGCGCAATGGCGAATCGAGCATCAAAACCGCTACATCACAGACGCTGGTAAAAATCAAAGAGAATCAAATAGTAATATGACCTCAACAGAACCGATAAAAAAGTCATACAACAGAAGTAGTAACAAAACAATAAATTACCAGTTGAAATAAAGCAAAACCTGTCCCAGCACGGGAAATGAACTCACACCATTTGCATCCAACGGCAAAGAGGCCTACTGCTAGACCGCACAGCTGGTAACTTAATCAAGCGAAAAAGCAGTTAAAACAAGCAAGCAAACAAGTAAACAAAAAAACAAATAGTCAAAATATAAAGAAAAAAATACGAGTTAAAGAAAGATCTCAGTTAGCATTTTTAAAGGGGCATAACGCAAGAAAATTGTATAGATGTATTTTCAAACAAGGGAGGGATAACGTCCCCTGTTCTAAAGTTTCGGGTCTATTTATTGGTTATTACTTTTTTTTCCTTCTTGAACTACAAGGACTTGATTTAAGAGTAGAGCGGGAGAAACAGCTGAGGGAGACACGGCAGACATTGTTCAATGCTAGCTCTAAGAAATAGAGTAAGTGGGACGAATAATAGATCTTTAAAAACCCAGTTAAACCCCTGGAAAGGCGGAGGGAGGGAGGGAGGAGGGGAGGGGAGGGGGGGTTGATGAACTAAACTGATCCTTTGTGGGTCTAGAGAGTATAGTCACTGTAACAGACACGCCAAGAGACGTAATTATCATGAAGATGCCAAAACGTTTTCACTGTAGGGAAAAAATAATGACGACAACAATGAGAAATGTGCGTATCCTATACAAAGAATAAAATGGGTTTGATCCAAATTACCATTGAAACAAAGTCCTTCATCAAATAAACCTTAAAATACCCAAGCACATAGCAGAAATTCAAACTGCGTGCTGAAATAAGATACTCCATAAAAAAAAAGGTAAAGGGGGAAAGAATTAAATACACACACGTTCCAATATTAAGAGTCTATTGCTCACAAAGTATTGCGTTCACAACAATATCATGTATGCTTGCAGTCTCTCCTTCACACAATGCTGACTCTCAAAACGTTTACTCAAACACAAACAAAATTTCCTTCGAAACAAAAACATTTTAAAAAAAACATGATTTGTGAATATTTTAACCTCCCCAGCTCCATCCAAATCGATAACATCTAGATTATTTAGATTAAGGCTAGCTGCTTCGCCCTGACTGTCAAGGTCAACCTGAACAAAGCGGGATAAAACATCCCTGCACACAGATAGATTTATTCCATCAAATACAAGCTTCTCTGTACACAAAGAACTGAACCCATACCTCCTCCTACTCACTGCGGCGAAAATCTTATAACTACAACACCAAGACAAAAAAACGGCATATCTAAAACAGGACAACAGCGAGAAAGCGATGATGAAATATAGGGAAGACATCAAATTATGATCATCCACTCCGAGGGAAAGTTTACAAAAGAGTTATTGTTACAAGGGAGGTAACAAAAAGGGGGAAGCTGTAGTGTAATATGTGGGGTAGATATAATACAATCAAATCTTTTCACCAATGTCAGTTACTGTTAAGTAACACCATCATAATGACCTTTGACTTTTAAAATAAAAACACAAAGTAGCCATGATCATAACCTGCACTAATTGGATTTTCTTTCAGATTTCTAAATATTGGTATGGTAAGAATTCCCTAACTTTTTTCAAATCCTCGATGAAACAAAGTTTTGTTTTTATCCAATAATTGAGACTGTTTCACCTTTTCTCAGGTCATATAAGAAATAAAGACTTACTTAGGTAAGTACTATCATTAATTAAAAGTAATCTCAAAACAGCATAAGCAATTGAGTTAGGACCGTGGCAAAATGGAATTTATTTTCAAAAGTAACTCAACCTCTAGCACAATAATTCCATTACCTCTGACATTACTCAATATTAATCAACCACCTTAACTCAAACATTACTCAATGTTAATCATATTCATAAACCGTATCAGCTGTAAAATTCTTCAATTTTAATCAACCATTTTAAAAACTCAAAGCATTACTCAATATTAATCAATTACTTTTACTCTAACAGCACTCAACATTAATAAAGCACTTTAATTCCAACAAAACTCAATACAATCAACTGCTTTATGCACAGACTCTCTAATGAAAGGAGAACTACGAAGACCACAATGAAATAAAATGATCGAAGCCACATCATATTCAGGTTAAGAGAAAATTAAAAATTAAATTTCAAAACAGTGGGATTTGACTATTTTACTATGTTACTGATAAAGCAAACTTAAGATTATAACTCCACCTCCCCCCCACCCCCCTCACCTCCTGCCTTTCCTTTTACTGGGGACTGATTTGACCTTGTAAGCAGATCCTGGGTCACTGTTGGGGTCACAATGAGGTTTGTGCTATGTCTTACAGGGACAGAAAAGTAGTGGCTGTGATGGTCATGGTGGTCAAACTCACGAGAGAACAACGGAGTCCATTCACGCCCAAATCTGCTGGGCGGACAAAATATCCTCATTATTTTAGCCGTGATCTCGGTTTAGAGAGATTGCTCAAAAAAGGGAAGAAAAATATTGGGGGCAGTTCTATTTTCTTTCGGTTTACCACAGTTTTGAGATCAACTATATTCCGTTTACCACTGTTTCCAGATTAACCATGGTCCGTTTAAGTGGACTGCACTGCGTATCCATGTACTTTACCTTAACCATGCCATCGTCTTTTAAGAAATTGTACATACAATTCAGTACAGTGGGAGTCGTTTTGTTTGATAAAATATAATCTTATAATATTATTATGTTTTATACGAAATTTAGTGCACAGGCTAGAGACAACAATTTAGTCACTTCAAAGCAGTAACATTGGAATTTTTTTCTGGATCACATACTATAGGCTACGGCATTTTCGGGGAATTATATTTCGAGACTTTCTGTATTCTCGCAAATCAGGCTTTTACACAAATGACAATCAACATTTAAGTAGCACTCTAACCCAAAGTATGACAAAGCAGAATGTTTAGCAGGGAATAAACTCAAACAAAATTTCCAGACACACACACAAACTCAATCTCCTGCCCCCCCCCCCCCCCCCCCCCCCCCCTCTCACCTTTTGTGTTTGATCCACTTTCATAATATAACGCAAACTTTTGCCTTATTTAAAGAACAACATTATTATTTGTGAAGTGTGCTGACTAAATGAGTTACTTCTCGGATTATGGCCCTATGGAAATAGATACATCATGCTTATAGGTGAAGTTTTTATAATTTGTAAGTGTGAAATAACCAACGGCATTTAGTACTTAATGAATCAATAGCAAACCTAGAAATTTGACTCAAGTTTCGATTTTTGATCAATATCTCCATTTTGTGGATTGTGAGAAGTAACTCATTTTGTCAGCATGCCTCACATTTTCATTTCAAGTTTTAAATAAACTCCGAAAGTAGCACATGCACAAAAAACACCCATTTGGAGATTCGAACTAGTGTTATCGTCACCATAGTCCAGCATAATGGCAACTTGGCTAAGAGAACACTAATCCTTCATACATGCCTCTCTCATAGTACTTGTTCACTAAATACACATCACGTTTACAGAACTTTTTCGGAAGGCTCACAGTTTTAAAAAAAATTATTTCTTTTTTCCCTGAAATTTTCATAATACCATCCAGAAAACACACATAGCATTTAGATAATCCACTTTCCCCGATGAAATTCTTTTTAAAAAAACCTTCTGACTCAGTACCCATTCACTCAATTGTTTCACACAAGTTTCCTCTCACCTTTTCCCATCGCTACACTGTTTATTTCCCAACATTTCCTCACAGTCCACTTACGCACAATTTTCTTCTTCCTCAAATTATGCTAGATCTAGATCTGAAACGTAAATGTGCAGTCGTGGATCACAACTAATTTCTCAGCTAGGATTCTCTCAGTGCTGCAAATACACACATAACATGTATTTTTTTTTAAAACAACAATCATCACACTACAAGCAAGGACTCCAAAATAAAAATTATTTTTAAAAGTTAAATTGACTCCCTGTTACGTCTGCTACTTACACATACACACACACAAACAAAACACACACACATACACACATAAACACACACACAGACTCACACATACACACATGCGCACACACATATGCGCACACAGAGAAACACAGACACACATAAGACAAGCTTACAAATAAAAATGCCAACCCCCCACACCCCCTTTTTTTTCAATCAGACAACCACACAAACAAATTATCATAAAAAATCAGTCAATCACACAATCAAAGTACCATCAATTAAAAAAAACAACAACCCCAAAATATAATTTCAAAAAAGAAATTCAAAGATTGACATCCAAATGGCGCCTCTTCATTGCTGCTACTTCCGCCTGGGCAAATGTGGACTTGCGGAGGAGGTGGAGGGGGGCGGGGGGCTGGAGGT